AGAACAACTTTAAGAACAGAGAAAAAAGCAAAAACATTCCTGAGTCCACGGAAATATCATCAGTAATTCAGTGCACAGTTTCACCAAGTGGCAGAGGAATATAATTTGTTTCGCCACATTCTTACTAAAATAACCAAAATAGTAAAATCAATTAAAATAGGAAAAGTCTTACTATATAGAGAAGTAAAAGTTAACAGGAAATAATTTTGCCGTCAGACTTCCATACAGTAATTGCAAGACTTACAGCTAGTCAACTAAAAAAGGCTGTTCTTCCTCACCAAAAAATTAGGAGTACTTTGGGTATTCACGTAAATCACCTTAATTTCTCACCTCGTGGCTTCCATTATTTGAAAATAAAAGTGAGGAACGCTAACAAATGCTGCTTTTCTTCACATAAAAAATACACACACAAATTCAAACAAAAACCTGTGAACTTACGTTGTTAGCAAGAATGCCCCATCACTGCATCTTTCCAGAGCTTTCCGTGCTGGAGGTTTTGCTGCAAACTCTACGAAACCTTTTCCTGTAGCTCTGCCACGATCATCTACTACAACAACAGCTCTTTCCACTGGGCCAAATTGAGAGAATGCTTGTTCCAGCAGCTCATTAGAAACCACAGGTGAAAGATTCTTGACTGTTAAGGCAGCTCCATGTGTAGCAAATCGAATTCGAAGTGGTCTGCTCTTCAAAATAGTACCATCAAGTTCTGCCTTTGCTATTTCAGCCAGTGTCCTAGATTCCTTTTCCAAAATATAAATATATTTTACATATTCTGTTTTCAAAGACAACAGAAATCAGTTTCCCACTCCCCTGAGGAAAACAGCTTTTTAAAAAAACCTTGAGCATATTAGCATTAGGGTCATTTGACTTCCTTTTTTACAGTTTCTGTCCACCGATTTCAAAAACGTACCTTCGTGTTCCCAATATGATTTACTCTGAAATATGCCTTAGGCACAAACTTTAACTGCACATTTGAGAACTTACTTTTCTTCCTCAATGTTAATTTGGTATGTGCTGCTTCACAAAGCACTTGCAGTAGAGCTGAGAACGTCATGCTTTTTCACATCTATCTACTCCAACGTCTATCTCCTGCATCCTTATCTCTGTATAGTAAGAAGCAGTGTTTTCAAAGATTACACTACAGGAGCTTTTTTTTTTTTTTTTTTTTTTAAATGAATGACTATTTTGCCATTATCACATTCATTACTGTTGGATGAACACTTAATGGCGGTGTAACTCCAACTTCATCAACAAATAATTTGCTCTAATATCCTTCTTGGCTTTTGTATTCATTTATGTGCTTTCTGCACACAGACCCATGAGAGTCTTCCTTAATAACTGCCCTTTTATTTCAGAGATTTTCACTTAGGTTGATACCTGCAACCCTTTATATTTAGGGAAACGGTTCTTTAGATCACTGCCATGTTCTCTGTGTCATTATACACACATCTGAATAATACATGTAAACCTGCTGCACTTTCTCCAAAAAAAAAAAAAAAATTCGAGGATTGTTAAGGGAAAACGTACAGCAACATTACAGAAGTCATTATTAAAATGACAACCAAACACAAAAACTAAGGAGTATAGTATATCAAAAATCATAGTTATGGACACCCAAAGCACTGTAAAGCTATTGTAACAGTATCAATCAGTGCATTCTCAATATGGCAGTCATGAAAAATAATCCTGCACGTTAAACTGACAAACGCAGTTATCTCAAGCTTTTAGAATGTTTCCCCTTTTCGCGTGCTCAACTTGAGTTAATATCGATCGAACTGCACAAAAATCTAGTCACTTACTTCTCACCGAGACACCACTAATTTGATCAACTTAAGTTCCCAATATTTAAATTGCATATCCTTAGTTTTCAGGATGTCTGAGCAGCAGTATTTTAAAGAAATACTGTACAGTCTTTACTGAAAGATTTCTAAAATTAACTAACGTGTTTTCATCATACGCCAAAATCTGTATTCATAATGAACCGTACGGGCTGAAATTTACTTCAGCACAAAGGAAAATTTCCAGTCCTAAAATACTGTAACAAGCTACCAATTAAACGTGCTTAACGATAACCTTTATTACACTACGCGACATCCTTACGCAAAGGAGATCGCGCAAACACATCTTCCATCTACCATCATTCAAAAGTAACAGGCTGCAGGAGTACCCGTGGCACCAGCACGCAGACGGTAACTGGTGGACAGAACCTGAAACCAGCGCAGAGGCCGAGTAGCGAGGGGGAAGCCTAAACGCCAGGGGCTGGGAAGGCTGCTGAAAATGCAGGCGTGCTGCGTGGATGCATGGAAGGAAAAGGGGGGAGGAAGCTGAGGAAACTGCACTAGTGGCAAAGAGAGGAAGAGTATGCGGGGCAGTTACTGTCCTTTTTACACCCGTCCGGTGGGGAAAGGCGGGCGGCGTCGGGGCCAGGAGGCTCCCACTTACAAAGGCAGCCCCTGGGTTACGGGGCGGCCACCCAAGCTCGCGCGGACCCTCACCAGGCGGATGAAACCAAAGCCACGGTCGCGGTTGATGAAGACCTCGCTGGGTTCCCCGTAGCGCTCGAAGAGGCGCTTGAAGTCTTCTTCGGTGATGTCGGTAGGCAGGTTCCCCACGAACAGCCGGCACCGCTGCGTATAGCTCTTCTCCCCGGGTTTGAGAAAGCTTTTGATGTCGATAGTGAAGCCGACCTCCTGCTCTTCATCGCCAGCTTCTTTGCCCGGCACGACCGCCATGGCCGCCGCTGCCTCGCTCTCCGTCTCTAGGCCC